TCCTCTAACCAAGCGTTCACAACTAGCATGCTGCATACGATTTGCTGACCAGAGTGGCCCCCAAACAGTGATTTGACGCAACCTGTGCGGTGCGACCCAGGGGGTAAAATTAATGTGGTCCCTTCTGAGTGGTGCAATTCATGTAGTGCAGTCTATGTGGTACGAGGCTATGGGAAGCAATGCAAAGCTGTGAAAAATAATGGAATTACAATGCAATACGATGCGAAGCAACGCACAGCAATGAAAAACAATACGAAGAAGTCCGACGCAACGCAAACCTATGCCAAGCAAATACAATGCAAATCTACGCAATTCGAAGCACTGCACAGACATGCCATTCACTGCAATGTAATGGGGATGCAAGGCGATGCCCAAGGGTGACGGGCGGCGACGGGCGGCAACGAGCTGGCAGACCAGCTCTGGGGCCCAGCGTCGACGGCGGCGACGCGCGGCGACGGGCGGCGCCGATTTTGCCAGACCAGCACCGCATCATCGTCATCATCAACATCATCAGCATCATCAGCTTCATCATCAGCAGCATCATCATCATGTTCATCATCCTCATCAGCATCAACCTCATCATTATCATCATCGTCCTCATCCTCCTCCTCCTCCTCCTCATCATCATCATCATCATCATCATCATCATAAGAATCATCATCACCATCACCATCATCACCATCAGCTTCACGTTTACGATCATGATCATGATCATTATGATTATCAGAATCGCCATCATCGTCATCAGCATCTTACTCAGCATCATCAGCATCAGCATCATCATCATCATCATCACCATCAGCATCACGATCACGATCATGATCAGACTGCTTATCTTCATCGTCATCGTCATCCCCATCAGCATCATCAGACTCAGCATCATCAGCATCAGCATCAGCAACATCATCATCAGCAGCATCGTCATCATCATAATCATGATCATTAGCATCATCACCAACATCAGCATCATCATCATTATCATCATCATCATAGAACCCCTGAATGCAAGCACTGTTGGGGGAATCTTCAAAATACAGGGGCACAGCGAGAGGGACAGCGAGGAGGAAAGAAGAGGCGGAAAAACGAGGAGGAGAGAGAGTGGGCACCTCGATTGCCGAAAACGGATCGGATCCGTCTGCACCGGCGCGGAATCGAAATCGGACCTCATCAGCTGCGCCAGGATGCACAACCGCGCCATGCAAGCATCAGGCTGCATCGTATTGTGGAAATGTTGAATTCAAATCGGATCGCGCAGGCCGGAATCGACATCGAATCGGATCTGGGGGACAGAGCTCGACTCGGCTCGAGGTTCGACCCTGAGATCTGGGCGTTGCAAATGTTCTCACACTTGGAGCGTTCGCCCAGTTTCCGGCCCCGGGACCACGACAGCAGCAGGATGATGAAGTAAGTCTAGGGGGCGCCAATCAAAGTTATTCGTGATGATGCGATGTTTCGCAACGTCGGATCTCATGGGAGAGGGTCACAGTTCAGGTCTTCTTCTGAGGAGTGGACCACGACAAGAGCAGAATGATGAAGTCTAGGGCGCCAGTCATAATTTTCCGTGATGGGGCGATGTTTGGCAACGCCGGATCTCAGGGGAGAGGATCAACGCTCAGGTCTTCCTCTGGAGGAGTGTGGCTCGTGGGGGGGCGGGGTCTTCTTCAGGCCTTCTTCTGGAGGTGGGGGTGGGGGGTCCTGGGGTGCTCTCGTCGCCACGGCTAGGCGTGGCAGGAGAAGCTGCGCAGTATGGACCCCGAGAGGGTTCCCAGATGTCGACTCTGAGCGGGCTTCGAGGGCTCAGCACGAAGGAAGACGGGTCCAGGAGGAAAGGCGCCCCGAAACATGAAGAACGAACAGCACACACCCACACCCACACCCATAGGAGGGATGGAGGGGGCTATGGGTGCGTGCTGTCGGATGGGGGTCCCCACTCGAACGGGAGCCTCCCTCGCGGTCCGACAACCCGTACCCATACCCATAGCCAGTCGTCCTCCCTCCGATTCCCCCTATGGGTATGGGTGTGTGTGGTTCGCTCGTCAGAAGGAGTCCTCCATTTTCAAGCACCTTGGGCCCTTCTGGACCGTCAGCAAAGCGAATCTGTCGATGGTAAAGCGCAGCAATCTAGGGGAAAGCGCAGCAGACTAGGGGGAAGCGAATAGCTGGACCTGGGGAAAGCGCAACAATCCAGGACCCGTGTCCCTCAGGGACCCGTTTCCTCATGGCAGAACAGAAAAGAAACGTCGCCTCGGAGACGGCTCCCAGCATGCTACGGCAGCAGCCCAGCGGTCTGCGCTGCGTGGCGACGAGGAGAAAAGGACGGAGAAGGAAGCAGACCACGACCAACGCGCAGGCGGGGAAATAGAAGAAGCATGGGCGAATAGGTGGTAAAGGGACCAGGCTGTCGAGTAGGGAACGTAGGGCCCACTTCGTCGAATGCCCAAGCGCCCACGGGGCATTCGGTGAAGACGAGGGCGATCAAGGATCGAGCATCGCAAATGCAACATCTGTGAACGTGTCGCACAACCCCCCCGAAGGCATCCGAGGACCTTCGCAGACAACCTGGGGGAAATCTTCGGAACCCCCGGGCGAGGGCGACGACGTTGTCAGCAACGGCGAAGGCGACAACCACGGCAGCAGCCGCAACGAGACATGACGAAGCTGAGGCGGCAATGTATTGAGGAACGTGAACAATGGAGGGGACAAACCCAGCTACATGCAGCAATGTCGACCCCCCTCCTTCCCCTCCTCCCCTCTTTTCGCCCGCCTCAACTCTCCCCTCCTCCTCTTTTTCTGTCGAACAAACATACATAGTGGTCCCGTTTCCCCATGTATGTGCACTTCAGCTCTGGCCTCGCTTCCAGCTGTGGGTGCTCGTGGACCGCCTTCGGTCCGCTCGAATGGGTGCCCCCCCCTCCTCCTGCTGTCCTCATCCCCTCCCGTGCCAGCGACCAGAACCACATACCAGACACACATGCCCTCCCTCCCTCTCTCGCTCCCGCCCACCCCCCTCCCTCCTCCCCCTCCCTCCTTGCTCCCATCCTCAGAGTGCCACCCCCCAAATCGTCAGAGTGTCACCCCCAGGTTTTGACACACAGGGTCACCAGCGGGTTTCGTGAGTCCCGGGGCCACCACCGCTCGACGCATCCTCGAAACAGTACCCCGATCCCAACACCGCGTGGTGAGTTGCTGGGGGCTCTGGGTTCCCAATGGGTGTTGTCACCGCCAAAACCACATGTCAGACACTGCCTCCTGGAACCTCCCAAGGTGTCATGTGGTATGCCGCGCCGCCTCCTGGGGCTCTCTGGGCGTTTTGAATATTCCTGTGATTTTCTCGGGCCTCCTGGGGGCCTGGGGTCCTGGGAAGCTGGGGCCTCCAGTGGTATTCTGGCATCTCCTGAAGCCTCCTAGGGCTTCCTGAAGTGCAGTGGGGCCTCCCCGCACTTCCTCTTGGAACGTTCAATGGCCTCCTGGGGTTCCCTTGGGTTTACTGGGATCCCCTGGTGGCTTCCCATATGTTTGCTAGGACCTTGTGGTGCCTGGACCTAGTGGAATATATTGTTGCCTCCTGTGGCCTCCATGGACACCCCTGTACCTGCTGAGCCCCGTGGATGATATATGTGTCTGAATTCGTAATTATCAAGCATAAATGAACATCATGATGCATACTGCATGCGATGCATCGTGTATGTTACAACGCGTAGTTTCAAATATCGGTACGTATACAATGTATGCCTATGAACACCCATACATCATATTGACATGCACACATATATATATATACACATGTATGTGTGTGCGTGCATAACGTACAGTTATATTTATATATATACATGTACAATTCTATTTATATGTATATATATATTTATGTATTACAATATATACATATATATATATATATCATGTCTTGTCATAGCGTGCTATACATGCTACATAGTAAAGCGTGTATCACGCTACTGTACCAGTGGATGCATCACAACATGTACTTGTGATCATAAACGTACAGTTTTCTTCCACAAGTTCTACATATGAGTACACATACTTATGACATCGTGCAGATGGTATACTTATACCAAAGTATATGTATTACACTTACATATTTTCATACTATATATATGTGACTGTATACATACAAATATGTGCGTGCATGCGTTTTGCGGGCTTCGCAGCAGGCGGAGCGGCAGCAGGCCGCTTCATCGCTGGAGCAGGGACGGCGTAAGAAGGGCCTCGGTTAAGAAACACCGAACAACTTGAGCAACACGTAGCATGATATATAGTTTGATGGATGCGATTGCCTTTTCATGCTGCACTCTGCGTGCAGAGCGACACTTTTAGATGAGGTGGGTATCTTGAAACGTAAAGCATGATTTGGGATTATTCCCATCAAGTGCCCAAGATGGCCCAAGAAGGCTTCTAGACAACCCAAGAAGCCCTCCATACCGACTCCAAGAGTGTGCCCAGACGGAGGGGGGGGGGGGGGGGCGAACGTACATTTCGAGCCCTGAGCCCCGAGTGGCTCCGAGGAGGCCCCAAGAGGCCCCAGGAAGTCCCCTTTCTGCTTTCGGGAGACTGGTCTCTCTAAAACCCCATCTGAATCGACAGGGAAATCCCTTGCCACTTTCGGGCGGTCTCCCTAAAATCCCATCTGAATTTAAATGGAAATCCTCTCATTTTGGGAAGATGGGTCCCCCTAAAATCAAATCCCGTTTTAGGGGGGCCGGTCCCCCTAAAATCCCCTCTCATTTTACGGAGACCGGTCTCCCTAAAATCAAATCCCGTTTTAGGGGGGCCGGTCCCCCTAAAATCCCCTCCCATTTTAGGGAGACCGGCCCCCCTAAAATCAAATCCCGTTTTAGGGGGACCGGTCCCCCTAAAGCACCCTCTCATTTTAGGGGGGCCGATCTCCCTAAAATCAAATCCCGTTTTAGGGGGGCCCCCGAAGGCCGACCCCCCCCTCAAAGACCAAGGCCGCCCTTGTCTCACCCCTCCCTCCTCTGAAGCATGGCCGAACGGGTCGTCCGCGATCCGACGGGGGCGTCCGCTGCGTGCCCCTTCGGGTCCAGGAGGAGCCGCAGGGCCAGAGGGAGGATGATGAGGGGGGGGGGGAGGAGGAGGGAGGAGAGGAGTGCGAGGAGGAGGAGGAGGAGGAGGAGGCAGGAGGAGGAGGAGGAGAGGAGAGGAGGAGGAGGAGGAGGGGAGGCAGAGGCGGAGGCGGAGGCGGAGGAGGAGGAGGAGGAGGAGGAGGAGAAGGAGGAGGAGGGAGGGAGGAGGGGAAGGAGGAGGAGAGGAAGGTGAGGGGGAGGGGGAGGGGAGGGGGGGGAGAGGAGCAGGAGGAGGAGGAGGAGGAGGAGGAGGAGGAGGAGGAGACGAGGAGGACGAGAAAGAGGACGAGGAGGAGGGGGAGGAGGAGGAGGAGGAGGTTGATACGAAACGGCACGATACGATACGACTCACCCTTGGGGTGGCGGGCAAAACGAAGCAAAACAGGAGGAGGAGGAGGAGGAGGGGGGAGGAGGAGGGGGGGGGGGATCAGGAGGGAGGAGGAGGAGGAAAAGGTGGAGAAAGGAGGAAGGAAGGAAGGAAGGAGGAAAGGAAGGAAGAAAGGAAGGAAGGAATGAAGGAAGGAGTAGGAGTAGGAGGGGAAGGAGGAAGGAAGGAGGAAAGAGGAAGTAACGAGGAAGGATGATGATGATGATGATGATGATGATGATGAGGAGGAGGAGGAGGAGGAGGAGGAGGAGGAGGAGGAGGAGGGAGGAGGAGGAGGAGAGGAGGAGAGAGGAGGAGGAGGAGGGAGGAGGAGGGGGAGGAGGAGAAGGAGGAGAAGGCGGAGGAGGAGGGAGGAGGGAGGAGGGAGGGGGGATGAAGGAGGAGGAGAAGGAGGGGAAGGCGGAGGAGGAGGGAGGAGGGAGGAGGGAGGAGGGAGAAGGTAGGGGGAAGGAGGGCGGTACTTCCTCGGCGTCTCAGGTTTGGCCCGCGATCGCCTTGTTCACTGGTGTGCCTGCGTTTGCTGCGCCCTGACTCAAGGGCGCCCCAGACCTGGGGCCCATTTCTGCGTCAGGCACACTCTCGCCCGATGGGACTGTGGTTTTTATGTGTTGTAGCTTAAAGCATGGTCTGCCTGTTGTGTTGCTGCTGCTTCGCGGCGGTAAACAAGGGGCGAAGAGGTCCTAGCAGGGCGACCGGAACTCAAGGAGCGAGCACATAGCTTTGGCAACTGCCTGATCAGACGCCGTAGTAGCGAGCACATCGCTGTGGCCACCGCCTCTCAAAAAAACCATCGTCTCGACAAAACCCCGACCGTCTTCGCAACACTGCTGATTTCCAGCGGCACCTAGCCTGGCACATTTATTTACGTGGCAGCGTTGCCTAAAACCTGGAGCCTCTTTTTTGTCCGAGGAGCGCCCCTGATCGGATCGCTTGGTCAACCAACGGTGTCAATCACTGCTCTCGCAAGCTTGGTGGAGGAGAACCGTCGCTGCAGCCTCCAGCCCACCGATTTCGATTTCCATCTCAAACGCAAGTTTGGCACCACTGCGGCCTCTTTAAATCCGATTCGGAACTCTCGACGTTTCCGTGCGCAGCGGTACTCGCCAGACTTCCCAACGTCGGGTCAGGGAGGGAGGAGGCAGGAGGGAAGCAGCAGGAGAAAGAGGAGGAGACGCAGCAGCAGCAACAGGAGGAGAAGGAGGAGAAGCAGCAGAGACAGGAGGAGGAAGAGGAGGAGGAGCAGCAGCAGCAACAGGAGGAGGAGGAGAAGGAGGAGGAGCAGAAGGAGGAGCAGCAGCAGCAGCAACAGGAGCAGAAGGAGGAGGAGGAGCAGCAGCAGGAGGAGAAGGAGCAGGAGGAGGAGGAGGAGGAGGAGGAGAAGGAGGAGGAGGAGAAGGAGAAGGAGCAAAAGGAGGAGGAGGAACCAAACGCTCTGATTTTTTTAATGTGTATATATATATATATATATATAAATATATATATATATATATATATAAGGGGGCTCCGAGAATTTCAAACATTCTGAATTTTTTAATTTTTCCAGGGCCCCAGGCACCACAGACCAAGCCAGCAGGATCGCCGAAACCTCCTGGGCCTCCGAAAACATTAAAATGCTAAAATTCTAATATTTGTTTAATTTCAGGTGCTCCGACAAATTCGACAAAAAACGTTACTTTTTTATGTTTCCAGAGCCCCAGGCACCGCAGACCAAGCTTGCAGGATCGCCGAAACCTCCTGGGCCTCCGAAAAATTAAAAATTCCAGAACTTTTAAGATTTTTAAAATTTGCAGGCGCTCCGATTTTTTCTTTTTAGAAATATGTTTTTAATGTTTCCAGGGCCCCAGGCACCGCAGACCAAGCCAGCAGGATCGCCGAAACCTCCTGGGCCTCCGAAAAATTAAAACATTAAACGATGGATGTTTTAAAATGTTCAGGCGCTCCGGATTTTTTAAACAATTTTTAAATTTCCAATGTTTCCAGAGCCCCAGGCACCGCAGACCAAGCCAGCAGGATCGCCGAAACCTCCTGGGCCTCCGAAAAATTAAGCATCCTATTTAAAAAAATCAGGCGTTCCGATTTTTTAACAACAAAAAAAGAAATTTGAATTTTTGTTATATTTCCAGGGCCCCAGGCGCCGCAGACCAAGCCAGCAGGATCGCCGAACTTCAAAACAATCAAGTTGACAAAGCGAGGAGGAGCAGGAAGCGGAGGATGACAAAGAGGAGGGGGAGGAGGAGGAGGAGGAGGAGGAGGAGGAGGAGGAGGAGGAAAGGGACGGAAGAGAGGACGGAGGAGAAGGAGGAAGAGGAGGATGAGGAGGAACGGCAGGAGGGAGGAGGGAGGAAGGAGGAGGAGGAGGACGAGGACAATGAGGAAGAGAAGGGGGTGCGGAATGCAATTGGATACCCGTGCCCCGTCATGCTCCCACCCCCATGTCTGGTGTGTGGTTGTGGTCGTCCGTACCATCCCCTCCCTCACTGCCTCCTTCCGTCCCCATCGCCGCCCCGTGCTCCCCCCCTCCCCCCCTTTTACTCCTGTGCTCGTGCCAGCCTCCTGGCCCCTCGCCAGGACCCGATTAGCCCCCCCCCCGAGGACGACTGCCCGGCAGACGTGCAGGGCCCATGGAGGGGGGCGCCGCGGAGGGGCGAAGATCAGCGCTGCCGAGCCCTCCCCCCCAAATCTCAGACTGCACGACTTCGGCCACCTGCTGAAACGCTGGAGGCCTGGGCATGGGCACCAACACCAACACCGGGGGAAGATGATCCTAGATTTCGGTGCTGGTGGCAATATTTCGTCACCCTGGAAGCCAGAATGTTGCCACCATCCCCGGGATCGGGATCTCCTTCCCTCGGTGGAGGCGCACCGCCGGTATTGGTGCTGGTGTCAACCTCTAGGCCTGCGAAAACTGACTGACCCACCCTCCGCGGCCACACAGAAGAGGAGGAGGAGGAGGAGGAGGAGGAGGAGGAGGAGGAGCAGCAACAGCAGCAGCAGCAACAAGAATCACTGCAGTGCTCTTCTCTTCCGCTACCGCGCCAGCGTCCCGAAAGTGGGTCGCCAGTGCGTTTTCTTGCACAGGAGATCGAATCGAAGCTTGTTCGCGCCGACGTGTCCAAAGAAAGAGGACGAGAAGGAGGAAAGGGGCACAAGACCGACCCCCTGGTAACCTCCAAACTCTCTAATAAACCGTTTTTTCTAATTGTCACAAATTATTATCTGCCCGGGCTTATTGACGGATTCAAGCCAGAAGCCACAATGGGAAAATGAGTCCCCTCACGCGGCGGCAACTGCTGGGTCCCTAGGGGTTCCTAGAAGCCTTGATGTTCCCCGAAGATTCCTATGTTTCCGGATGGGTTCGTCGGATTTCTAAGGGTTCCTACGGATTTCCTGGGATTCCTAGGATCCCCTGGCGATTTCTTTAGGAATCATGCGGATTCGCATGATTCTTCAGGATCGGATCCCCAAGAATCCTTAGGAATCCCAGGGATTCCTCTGGCTCCGAGGAAGCCCTAAAGATTCTAGGATTCCAAAGACTCCCTTTGGATTCCTACGCATTCCCAGGGTCCCTCTCCAATATGAAGACGACGACGACGACAACGATCGCGACGAAAACAACGACGACAACGACGACGACGACGCGGAGGACTTGGCGCCGAATCGCTTGGAGATGTAGCGAATTATCTGTCAACCATTTCACAAACAAACTCAACATTCCTCTGTCGAGCAGGGTAAGCCAGAGAGCAAAATCCGCCCGGAGAAATAATCACCCAGCAACAACCCACAGGCGAAAAGTAGTGGGCAAACACTTGCGCGCGCAGTACACACCGACCACACTAACCACAACGATGGCGAGTTTTCACTGCAGACGAATGTGTGCGCAACCCCCATATAGAGACGACGACGGCCGTGCCAACGACGAAGTCGACGCGCCGTCTCGATTGGAGATATAGCGAATGTTCTTGCAGTCCTTTGCCAACAAGCTCAAAATTCCGCTGTCGTGCAGACTCGACCAGAGAGCACAATCCGCCAAGAAAAAAAACACCTGATAACAACCCACAGGCGAACAACGAGGAGGGGGAGTCCTGAGGGAGTGCGAGGAAGGGGGGATTCCTAGGGAGGGGAACATCGAGAGGAGGGCGAGGATGCAGAGCGAGGAGGAGGAGGGCAAAGAGGGAAAGGACGAGAAGAGGGAGGACGATGGGCAGGGGCGAGGAGGGAAGCATGAGGAGGAAGAGGAAGAGGAGGAGAGAGGAGGGAGAGCGAGGAGGGTTAGGAGGGGAGGGATGAGGGGAGGGGGAGAACGAGATTACCAGCCGAGGATTTTGGGGGGGGGGGGGCAGCTTCACAGACCTTCTGCGGTTCGTTGCTAGACGGCGATAGCATGCGCACGGAAGCGTGGGACTCAAGGGCCCCGGACATCTGGGCGGCCTGGAGGAACGGATACGCGCCCTTGCCAATACCCAAGGAAATGGTGAGACCAAGAGGTACCGATACCGCTACTCCCCTGACCGCTCCCGGGGTGCGTTCTGACCAGGATTTCGAGGCGAATCCAGCGGTGGCGACGAGGGAGGCCCAGGAGGCCAAAAAATGGGATAACGGGCGAAGGGAAGAGGTATGGGTACCTTTTCCTCCTCTGAGGAAAGGAGGCCCAAATGAAGACAGACTCGGACCGAGATAACTCGGACATCTCTGAACCTGAGAGATGGCGGGCTCGGAGGACGTATCTGGCGCCGCGGCTGGTCCAGAGCGCCTCAGGAGACACTCTCGGACGCTTATAGACCTGCGTTTGTTCCCAGACCCCCGACGTCGCGACTTTGTCACAACGTTGCCCCTAGAGGTCTGGACCCCTTGAAGATCTGGACCCCTTCCTCGGGACAGGATCTTCCTACCGAGTCGTTGTGTGACAGTTCCAGGGCCCGGCGAGGGCCCCAGAAGCCCGAGACGTCCAAACACCTTGAGTCGCGATTATGCCCACGGCGCGACGGGGTCTGGGCATTCCTGTCCTGGGCCCTCCTGGCCCACCCGAGAGAGGGGGGTGGCCCTGGCTTCTCGGCGCCTCAGGGACGGGGCCCCGAGGCACGGGGCCCCGGGGCGAAGAGGCCCAGGACGCCGCAGGCTCACCCCGGGGAGGCCCTCTCCTGCAAGGAGAACGGTTCTCGGAAGGCGGTCCCGCCTTCGAAAACCGCTCTTGCCTATGAGGTCGCTGTCTTGCAGGCCGATTCGCCTTCAAACAGCCATCAGAACAGAGCAGGCCACTCTCTGAAGGCAGGCCCGCCTTGGAAAAACCGTTCTTTGCAGATCGGCCTGCCTTGAAAGACGCGCTCTGAGGACCCCAGATCTCTGGACCTTCTCTTTGAGACCCAGGAGCTCACGAGCGGCGAGCGCGTCCATACCCACGCCCTTGTGGCCTGGACTCCGGGGCACGATCCCGTGGATACGCGATCGCGCGGACACGCTCCGCGCGGGACGTTGCGACAAAGCGCCCCGTATACCCACGGGGTCGCGGCCCAGGGGCCAGGCCGGTGAAGCCGTGGATGCGGATACGTTTAGGTCGGGCGTGTCCCCCTACAGGCGGCTTTTGGGCGAAAATCTCAAAATACCCAAAACATACACCAACATAGTCAAAACAATGATCAAACCATAATCCCGAGACTAGTTTTTGACTATTTTTGAACATTCCTCCTGCAGAGGGGCACTCCCGACTTCGGGATACGTTTTTGTCCGCTCACGGCGAGCCCAGAACTCCGACGGCAACCCACTGCCCGGGATCGCCTCCTTCTCCTGAGCCGTTTCTTGGCAGCCCCTGGGCGTGCCGCGCGAGGCCCCCCCGATGATGGGCCTGCTTTCCACCACCGCCACCGTAAGTTGGAGGGGGAGGGGCTCCTCCTCCTCCTCCACCCTCCTCCTCCTCCTCCTCCTCCTCCTCCTCCCTCCTCCTCTCCTCCTCCTCCTCCTCCTCCTCCTCCCCCTCCAACTTCTGGTGGTGGTGGTGGTGGAAAACAGGCCCATCACCCGAGGCCAAAGGCAGGGAAACGCGCCCGTGGTGATTGCTCTCGCGATGCCATGGGGTCTGAGATGGTAAGGCTTCGGGCTGCGCCCAGACAGTCCCCCGAGGAGTCCCAGCTGACCTCAGCAGCCCCCGCGAGTAGTCCGGGGCGGTCTCAAGACCCCAACCTTGCGGCGCGGAGCGCCCCAGGGGCAGCACTGGAGGTGGCGCCCGGGTGTCGAGACCGCCCTGGACTACTCGGGTGGCCTGTTGAAGCCAGCTGAAACTACCCGGGGGTGCCGGTTGAAGCCAGCTGTGACTGCCTGGGGGGGGGCTGCCTGCACGCGACCCGAAGCCCCGACTTAAGGCTGGACCCCCCCTCCCTGTCGCGCGGAGCACGCCAGGGGCCGCGCCGGAGGCACCGCCAGGGGGGGGGTCCAGCACGTCCCCAGGAGGTCTCGACCCATTCCCCCGAACGGGCTTTTCATCCTGATCCGTTTTTGACGGCCCCGAGGGCCGAGAAGGGCACGTGAAGGCCGCGAAACAACTCCCGTCGTGATTTGCTCATGGCTCGAGGGGGTCGAGTCGGAATCGGAAGTCGAATCGGATCGGAATCGGAAGCCATCGAAATCGAATCGCATCGAATCCGAAGAATCGGAATGGAGCCTGGCCTCCGTCGACCTCCACGGCCCTATCGTAAACGTGATCTCGACCAGATTTTGTCAAGATTTCGTCCACCCCTCTTCTGGGGAAACGAAAAGGTACCGATACCGCTACTCCCCGAACCTCTCCCGGGGTGCGTCCTGACCAGGATTTCAAGGCGAATCCAGCGGCGGCGACAAGATCCTCCCAGGAGGCCCGAAAAGAGGAAAAACGAGGGAAGGGCAGAGGTATAGGTACCTTTTCCTCCTCTGATCTTCAGCCTCTCGTTCAGACTTCGAATTTGAGTCGGATCGAACAGGAGGAATCAAAAGGAGCCCTGGGAAGGCAGCGGCCTCGGCATCCACGCGGCAGGGCGCGACGCCCTGCTCTTTTAGTATGATAACCTAGAAAACAAAAAATCCACTCCCATAACAACCACACCGACACGCGAAGTCGTTCAGCAAACGCGCCCAAAAACGGAATCGAACAGGGCAGGGCTGCTTAATAAACGCCCAGGGCCGTTTAGTAAACGCCAATTGTCCAGTCCGGGTGGTGTTTCCTCCCGTGATAACCGCCCCCAGGAGGTCCCGACGCATTCCCCAGGACAGGTTCCTCCTCCTGCGGCCCCGAGGGCAGGCGAGTGGCGCCTGGAGGCCGAACATCTGGAGAAGCCCGTCCAGGTTGCTTCATGAGTCGGAGGGGTCTGGGAAGGCGGCGGCCTGGGCAAACCAAAAGGTACCGATACCGCTACTCCCCGGACCTCTCCCGGGGTGCGCTCTGATCAAAAAGAATATCGACGCGAATCCAGCGGTGGCGACGAGGGCCTCCGAGGAGGCCGAAAAAGGAGGAAGCAAAAGAAGGATAACCCTAAGAAGAGATTAGGGAGCCCCCCCCCCTTTCCAGAGAAACCATAAAGCGTGCAACACCCGGAGGCGTCATCCTGGCAACCTAAAGAGATCGGTGCGGTGTTCAAAATATCGCGGTGCAGAAACAAAATTTTTTTAAAAAAAAACAGCAAAACAAAGAAAAAACGCTCCGCGAATTCCGCCCACGCGAGAGGTTTGTTGTCATTTCGGTGCTAGTGACAACACAAAGGGGTTCCTGAATCGCTTCCTGAAGGTAGAGGTATGGGCTACCGCAATAAGCCTTTCCATTCCCCCCAAGAAGGGGTAACTAACTATCTTTCGGCGGCCTTATTGGAGGACTGGGGTCCCACCAATCGGGGGTAACTAATCATTGGTTCCCGCGGCATCCGCCAAACAAGAAGGAGGAACGGAGGAGGAGGAGGAGGAGGAGGAGGAAGAGAAGGAGGAGGAGGAGGAGGAGGAGGAGGTGGAGGGAAGGAGGAGGAGGAGGAGGAGGGGGAGGAGGAGGAGGAGGAGGAGGAGGAGGAGGAGGAGGAGGAGGAGGAGGAGGCAGGAGAAGGAGGATAATATTTTGGAGAAGTCCGATGTAGCGCGGGGTGAAAAGGGGGGGGGGCAAAGCAAGAGACCTCCTGAGGGTACACGTTGTTCATTTCTTATCGTGCTCATTTCTAAGTGTGCTAGTTTCTAATTGTTCCTGGCCCCCCAGTGGCCAGGAAGAGGACCAGGGCAGAACAATTAGAAACGAAAGGATCTTGGCCCCCCAAAAAATCAAAGAACTTTCGAAGCATTAGGCATGAACAGTGTGCACCTCTTCCTCCTCTGAGCTCCGGTGCCCGCGGGGACGGCGCCGGCCCTTGGCATCCGCGTGGCGGGGCGCGGGCCAGGCGCCCTCGCCGCCGCGGGGCTCCCGGGAGGGCGCGCTCGGCGGGCCCTGGCGGCCGCCAGGGGCGCGCCGCTCCCGCGCTCTCGGCGCGCACTCGGGCGGGGGTCGGGCGACGAGGAGCAAGAGAGATCTCCCAGGAGGCCCAAAAGGGCGAAAGCGAGGGGCGATAAGCAGATGCAACAAATCCCAGGAGGCCCACAAGAGGGACGACAACAAGACAGGGGTGGCAGTACCGGCACCCCTTTCTCCTCTGACCAGCGCTGGTTGGTCGAACACCCTCATTCTGGAGTGGTCCCACAAAGTAAGTTGGCTTCTCGACATATGTATACATATGCGGTGCCCAGTGTAGGTGTACCGCATCAAGCGGCAGCGCAAGACATAACGATCAGCAGCAGCCTCAGCGGTGCTGGAAGGGAAACGCGGTGCCACCACGCCCCCGCGGTGGGGGCGGTCTCTCTGGCTCTCTGATCGGTGGGGGCTCGGCGCGCTCTCTCTCTCTCTCTCTCTTGGAGCCGCGCGTGCGGCCTCGCGTCGCCCCTGCTGGGCGCCCCGAGGCCGTGGTCGCACAGGTCACCAGCCTGATCCCAGAGCGCAATCCCTCCCACGACTGTGATTGACAATGAACGAGCCCCAGGTCCTTCCCTGAGATCCTGGCGTCGCAACTTTTGTTGAACCGCGCGTTTTCGCCTGTTCTCAGGCCCGAGGACCCTCGACGATCAATCCAGCTCGAAGGATGACGCAGAAAGATGGGGTCTAGGGTTACGGGCGTGATTTTCTACGATTTTACTTTTTTTCGCTACGTCGGATCTCAGGGTTTGGGGTCGGACCTTTACGTCAAGGGGCCCAAATCAATTAGGACGGAGTTTTTGTTGCTGCAGATGTGTCAAGCCCAACCAACCCGATGATCCCTCGTGCAAGCACGGGGACAAAGTTAAGCCACGTCTTCCTTGTGCTATGAGGTTTAGGGGTTCTGCCATACTCGATGGGGCGAGAGCGACGTCGTGATGTGACTGGCCCCAGACCCCCTGGAGTCATGAACAAATCACGACGTGAAGTTTTCTGCTATTTTCGGCCTCTGGGGGCACGTACCGGGCCTCGGAGCCGTCAAACAACGACTCGGGATGAAAAACCGGTCCAGGGAAATGGGTCGAGACCTCGAAGTGTCGACGTTCTGAAACAAAAAAAACATCTGAACGTCGGAGGTCTGGGGCTCAGGTCAGTGATCTTCAGAACATGTGTTACGACAAAAGAATTGCACATCGATCCCTTGGAAAAGGAATCCTGAGTCTGAGAGTCTGCGGAACACCTATGGACGCTCCAAGACGGCCCAAGCGGCCCCCAGCACCGCCCCAGCGCGGCACCAAGAAGGGCCCACGAGGGGGAACACGGACAGAACATCCGTGTTTCCCCCCGCCAATTGGCCCCCATGAGGCTGCCAGCAGGCCCCAAGAGATCCCCAAGAGGCCCCGAAGACGACACAACAGGCAGCAGAACGGCCCCCAAGAGGCTTCAACACGGCCCGCAGCAGCCCCTGAGAGGCCTCCCGCGACGTCCAAACGACCCCCAGGGATGGCCAGGTCCCGTTTGGGTCTGCGTGGGGCCCCACCGTGCTGGCTTCCCATCAGCCCTCGAAAGTGGCGACGTTGTCACACTTCGCAGCCCCCCCCGGGGATGCCAAGGTCTCGTTTGGATCTGCCTGGGGCCCCAGCGCGGCTCCCCCAGCAGCCCTCAAAAGTGGGGACAATTTCACACTTCGCAGCCCCCCAGGGCGAGGCCCCGTTTGGGTCTGTCTGGGGCCCCACTGTGCTGGCTCCCCCAGCAGCCCTCAAAAGTGGCGACAATCTTACACTTCGCAGCCCCCAAGATGAGATGCGAGAGGAGAGAGCCGAGAGGAGAGCGGGGGGGGGGGCGAGGAGGTGGAGACCCCACTGCTCTATTCAAAACAAAAGCCCAACCAAGGGAGAGATGGGAAAAAATGCAACATCGTAAAAAAAACACGCCCAGAGCCCTAGACCCTATCTTTCCGCGCCCTTTGTCGGGCCGGATCGAGCTGCGAGGGTCCCCGGGCACGAACAAATACGCGAAAAAACAACCGGCGCGGAAAAAATGCAACGCCATGATCTCAGGAGTACGGCAGGTTGGTGTCGTGACGACCCATCTCAGGAGTACGGCAGGTTCGTGTCGTGACGACCCTGGCGTTGGTTTCTGACACCGCGTGGATCGTTCAACCTTGAACGATCGGCGGCTTCGCGATCGCCCGACCGTTCCAAACAGTCGATTCTGGGCCACTGGCGGCGTTCGACCTTTGCACGCCCGCGGCGGGGTCGCCGCCGGTCGACACGACGCGAACCTGCCGTGCAGCCGCACCCGCCTTGCTCCTCCGAGTCTCGGCAGCTCGCCCTCCGAGGCGAGGCCTCGGCGGCGGGCCGCCCCCGGGCGCGCCTCCGAGGCCGGCGGCGGCCGCGGCGCAGGGGCCGTGCGCCGGAGCGCCGGGGCCGGCAGGACCTCGGGCGGCCGGGGCGCGGCTGGAGCCAATCCGACGTAAAGAGGCAGTGTGACAACGTGGGGTCGGTTTTGGAACGCTGTGCCGCCTGGAGTGGGCCATGGCGCATCTGCTGGTCAGATTTTCAGGGCTGTAGGGGCAATCTAAGGACCGAAAGACCTTGCGGAACCGGCTTGACATCGACACTGGAAAATGTGTCGAAACTCTACGAGGTCACTGGCGGGGGGCCGTCGAGCCTCCGCGCTGGGGCGGGAGCTCGGGGGGGGCGATGCACTGGGGGGGGGAGGCCGCGAGGGGTGCAGAAGAGGGGCCATTCAGGGCCCCCAGAGGAGGAGCCCTGCAGGGCCCAGGAAGGGGCCTTCAGGGCCCGAGCAGGGCACGTTGCCTCCTCCTCCTCCTCGTCCTCCTCCTCCTCCTCCTCGTCCTCCTCCTCCTTCCCCCCTCCGACTTATGGTGGTGGTGGCGGAACACAGTCCCATCAACGTTGCTTCCCGCCCCCCATGCCTCACCCCCCCTCCCCACGAATTCGTGCCCAACGCGCAGCGCGCGCCGCAGATCCGGGCAGCCGACGGTGTGGCGTCTTACCGCTACTCAGAATAGGAATGGGTATCTCTGCCGCTACCCCTGCCTCGTTTGCGCCTTTTTGGGGTCTCCTGGGAGGCCCTCGTCGCCACCGCTGGATTCGCCTCGAAACCCTGGTCAGAACGCACCCCAAAAGAGGTCCAGGGAGTAGCAGTATCGGTCCCTTTTGGTTTCCCCAAGAACGGCGCCCATGCACCGTACAGCCCTGCTTTGAGTGAAGAAAGTTCTACACAAGGGAAGCGGGCGGGCTTCACTCCGAGCGTTTTCTTAGAGAGTAGTCCAGGTCCAGATATACGAGCACTCTGCAAAAAAGGAAGGCTCCGAGAAAACACACAGGGTCCAGCCCAGATTCTTGATGTTCTGAAGCGTGATCTAGAGTCCATAAGCTTCCATGGACTTGGAGGTAAGGGGGAGGTATTAGCCCGGGCGCTCGATTATCAACATCAGCGTTCGAAGTCGGCGTGAATTTCTCGGATTGGAGCTGGACGCCTCTTCCTGGCGCGCGGATCGCGCCAGGGGCGGTACCAGAAGCGCCGCCAGGGGGCCCAGCGCCGATCCATTACATCTGCCCTGGTCGGCCTCCGTACAGTCCATGTTTCTATGAATATGCTTATTCTTCGAGGGGTGGGGCAACCAACGTAACTGCCGCGACGTTGGAATTCACATCATGTATTGCACGCGCTCGCATTCATGCATGATGACGCGCACGAGGCTTACTTTGTAAACTTAACGCAGCTGCACTTGCAACCCGGCGCACGTCAGGGTCCAGCACGTTGCCACAGCACTCCAGTAACTCAATTGGGCGCGCACGCGTGTTAGATATGGAAACCAATGTGCGGAGGTGAACGGGTAATCTCGCCCTCGAGCTGCGGCTGACGGGTTTGACGACATAGAAGGAGCAAGATTCGACTCGCAGGGTCGGGGGGCGGCGGTGCCAGGGGGAGACCTCTGGCCCGGGCACAATCGTGGCGGGCCCTTAAGGGCAGGGCGAAACTGTGCAGCCTGGGGTCGACGAGCTGGTGCAGCCGCTCGGCCACGCGCCGCATCGGTGCCTCCCCTGCTCTGTCCATGGCCTCGATCCGTTGCCCCGCTGCCTCTCGACAGTGCTCTACCTCGAGCGACCCTTCCCGTGCGGCACGAAGAGGCGATCGAACTCCCCCCCCCCGATGTGGACTAGGGCAAAAAAGAAAAAATAAACAAGGAGGGGGCAGGCCAGGACTCAGGGGTCCAGCGAACTCCTGCCAGCGGCGGAGCGGGGAGAGAAGGGGGAAAGGAGCGGAACGCGCCGCGCCTGGGTGAAACACTGCCTCCGTGTGTCAATTCCTGTTGGCTCCTACCAATTACGCGCGATCCCTGTTCACGCGGCTTCCAATCAGCTCGAAGGAGGAATCTGCTACCTTTGCTCTAGCCAATCTTGTTCCGAGGCCGGCCCGCTCAACGTGTGTGTGTGTGTGAGTGTGTGTGTGTTTGTGTTACAGATCTGCAACATCAGAGTGAAGGGGCCGAACGGTCATTCACTGGCCTTGGGCGCGTGGCTGAGGTGAGGTTTTGCGGTGCGGATTGTTGTTGCTGTTGTTGTTGGTGGTGTTGGTGGTGTTGGTGTTGGTGTTGGTGTTGGTGTTGGTGTTGTTGTTGTGGTTGTTGTGGTTGTTGTTGTGGTTGTTGTTGTTGCTGTTGTTGTTGTTATTGTTGTTGTTGGTGTTGTTGTTGTTGTTGTTGTTGTTGTTGTTGTTGTTGTTGTTGTTGTTGTTGTTGTTGTTTGTGTTGTTTGTTGTTTGTTGTTTGTTGTTTGTTGTTTGTTGTTTGTTGTGTGTTGTGTGTTGTTTGTTGTTTGTTGTTTGTTATTTGATGTTGTTTGTTGTTTGATGTTGTTGTTGTGGTTGTGGTTGTGGTTGTTGTTGTTGTTGTTGTTGTTGTTGTTGTTGTTGTTGTTGTTGTTGTGGTTGCCTTTTTGTTGTTGCTTGGTGTTACCTGTCGTCCCGCAGCCAGGGCCACCCCCCGGCAGCTGCAACGCTGGCGCTGGGCCGCCTGGCCCCGTCGCCCCGCCTGCAAGGGTCTCCACGCAGGCGGGGTGTTCCTCCTTTCTGTTCCCTTGCCCCCCTTTTCGCCCTTCGCCTTCCCCCCCCCCCCGCGCCGCCATGGCGCTTGCGTGGCTGCCGCAGTTTCAGCCTCCTCCTGTGGATGGGCACCTGGGCTTGGCCTTGCCGCCTGCATCCCCTCCTCGGGCCCAGCATTTTGCTGGTTGCAATCCAAACCTAGACTGTTCGCGAACTTGCCGTACCTTGTCACCTGCCACCCACCTGGGCGGCCCTGCGGCCCTCTTTGTGTCGTCCAAGTACTTCGCCTACTTCATCGGCAACGTCACTGCAACACCAACTTGTTTCACACGTACTGGACCTGGTCATCGCCTGTGGGTGCCCCAGCGCCGCGGCCCAGCAGTTGCCATGGATCCCGCTGACGGGGTTGGCCGCGCCAGCTCATTCGGGTCAGGTTCGTCCGCCCCTGAGTGGCCTCTTCTTCTCCCCCACTTCCGCGGCCGCTCACTCTGCCCTCTTCCCGCTCTTGCACGCTGGCCAATTCGCTTCTCGGTGCCCCCGCTTAACTCTATCGCTGGTGCAGCCACCTCAGCCTCGCCACCGACGGAAAAAATGACTTGTCGTCCCCCCCGCGACCTGGCGCGACCCGCCCGCGGCGACCCACCCGCGACCCGCCCGCGACCAAACCCACGACCCAACCGCGACCCACCCGTGACCCACCCCGCGACCCGCCTGCGACCCACCCGCGACACACCCGCGACCCACCCGCGACTCGGCCCGCGACCCACTCACGACCCACCCGCGACCCACCGTCATAGGTTCGACGCAAAAATCGACGTGTGTGGCAAACTCGGTGTATCCTTTGGTGAGAGACAGAGAGAGAGAGAGAGAGAGTGCGCGAGAAAGAAAGAAACAAAGAAACAATGCCTGCGGCGGATCTCTTCAGACCCTTGGAGACTGCTCTCTCCTCCTTCCGCATCCCTCCTCCCTCTTCCTCCTCCCCTTTTTTCTCCCCTCCCCCCCTCCTTCCTGATTGTTTCTCCCCTCTCGTCCCTCATCCCGTCCCTTCTCCCCTCCTCCCCCCTCCCCGTGCCTCCACCATCCTCCTTCCCCTCTCCGTCCTGGGAAGACCGCCGCTTCCCCCTTAAAACCATAGCTTTGGTGTGCAGATCCACAGCTCCGTGGATAACATGATGCTTCTCGTGCGGTGCCCCGTGGACCCGACTTCCCCTGGATCCACGATGATAATCACTATTACAAATGTATTCCCAGAGCAAAAATGGATCCAATGGTTTTCGCACATAGGGGGAATTGGATCCGCGCGACATAGAAAGAGGACCAACGAAACTGTCGCAACCGCGAAAAAGGATCCAATTGGACACATGCGTGTTACTATATCTTCTGAGTCAAAGAAGGAAGAGCTTCCGGCCTGGGGACAAAGGATCTGGCATCCCTTTCGCATTTGCACGCGAGGGCGGCGGTGGCAGAACGCATTCACTATACAATGCGTATGTGCCAGTATCCCTGGCCGGTGCCGCGGCGCCAGAAATGTGCGAAAGAACACATGGTGTTATTGGCGGAGGCGCAACGTGAAATCCCACCTACGCAGGCCGAACAAAAACATCTTCAACCCCAAATGTCGGAAACGACGTGCCATTCAGGTGAACGGATACGTGTAGAGCTCTCTTCGGCCAGGGGCGTGCCATCTGTTATGGAGGGAGTTGAGGGAGGGGGCTCGGCCCGCTGTGGCACTCGAGCTTCCGATCTGGACACTTTGCTTGCGTGTCCTCATGCTCCCCGTCCTCTCTCTCGCCTCCTCCTCCTACCCCCTCCCTCTTCCCCCTGCCTCCTCCTCCTCCCTCCTCTTTCCTCCTTCCGCATCCCTCCTCCCGCCTCCTCCTCCCCTTTCTTCCTCCCTCCCCCCCTCCTTCCTGATTGTTTCTCATATCCCTTCCCTCCTCCCGTCCCTTTCTCCCCTTCTCCCCCCTCCCCGTGCCTCCACCATCCTCCTTCCCCTCTCCGTCCTGGGAAGACCGCCGCTTCCCCCTTAAAACCATAGCTTTGGTGTGCAGATCCACAGCTCCGTGGATAACATGATGCTTCTCGTGCGGTGCCCCGTGGACCCGACTTCCCCTGGATCCACGGTGATGAAAATTAGCAGATATCTTTTCCCAAACCAAAAATGGATCCATTGTTAGTTTTGGCACACACGGGAAATTGGATCCGCGCAACACAGAAATAGGATCCACGAAGCTGTCGCACACGCGAAAAAAGGGACCAAATTTGATCCACTGGCGTCACCGTAAATTCTTAATCAGACAGGAAACCATTTTCGGCATGAGGACTTATGTGTACGTATGTATGATATATACACACATGTGTGTCGCTTTGTCTGGCTCTCTCTCTCTCTCTCTCGATCTCTCTGTCTCTCATGTTCTTCATTTCTCTCTCTCGCTCTATCGTTCGCTCTCTCGCTCTCTCTATTGTTCGTTGTGTCTGTTTTCTTCCCCTGCCTTGTTCATATATCCTTCTCTCTCTAACCCAAATCGTCTCTCTCTCTCTCTCTCTCTCCGTTTTCTGTATAGATTGTATTGTCGTTCTCTCTACATATATGTATGTTTCTTTCTGTTTATACGATTATCACTCGATCTCTTACACACGCTTCTATGCATATTATGACTCCATCGGTCTCACGTATAGCAGTATCGTTTTTGATGTTTCTACGCTTGCTGCTTACATGTGTATATGTATGTCCCTCTCGCCCTCCCTGGAGACTGTTTCTCTCCCCCTCTCTCCATGCAGCTTTCTCTCTTTCTCTTGCTCACTGTGTCTTGATACTACTCTCTCTGTCTCTCTTTTCCTCTCTGTCCATATCTCTCTCCCGTTCCCTCTGTCTCCATTTCTGTCTATGTGCCTGGCTAAAAAAGTGACGACGACGACGACGTCGAACCTCAAAGCTCGATCCTCGACAACGACGACGGATACATTTTGCTTCACAGCGCGTGCCCCTGGAAGCCTGGACCTCCTCTTGGGGACCCGCGTTTCATCCCGAGCCGTTTCACAACGCACCGGTGCACTCGGCGACGTCGAAGACTGCGACATCGGACCCCGAAATTCAATCCTGGACGACGACGACAAACTTCTCTCGGGACCCCATTGTCTTCTCGGCGGAAGCAGAAAAGGGGTGGATAGCTCAGGGGCGGGCACCACGCGCATCCGCCGAGGAGCCCTGCCGAAGACATGGGCGGAGGAACCCCAACATGGGCGACATGGTGCTACCTGTTGGGTTAAAGTCGGGAACTACTGCTCCACACGACGGCGGCGGCAGGCCCATCGAAACGCTATGCCGCGCGGGCTGATAGCTTGCCGCTCCGTTCCGAAGGGCGGGAGGCTGAGAAGAGCACGGGGTGCTCACGCCAGGGGGCGGGAAGGCAGTTACAGGTCAGCGTGTCGCGCCGAAGCGCGGTCGGCCAGAACCAGCGGAGCGACACACTACGCCCGCTGTCCTACTCTAGCGCCCTCGTCGTCGTCGATGAACCTTGGCCAACGTAGAGGCCTTGCTGCAACTCCCATGTCCACGCCTCAACATCCACCAGACGTGGGTCCGTAGGAGCCATTCAGAAATCCGGGCCAACTCGGCGGATCTCCACCTTGACCGCGTGCGCCGCCGCCAGCGTGCGAAGGAAGGAGACGAAAATGCGTTTCGCCTGGTCAAACGCCGACACCATCAGTGCCAGCAATAAAACCGCAGTGCCTCCAGGGCGCACTCGAGCCAAGGTTCAAGGCAACGGGACGACGAGGATGATCGTCAGCGCCGGTGATAATGATGATGATGATGATGATGATGATGATGATGATGATGATGATGATGATGATGATGATGATGATGATGATGATGATGATGATGATGATGATGATGAAAATGTCGACGGCGGGCCCTTTGCAGCGTTCCGAGAGCTTCCCGACGTGACTCGGGGGTCGGGACTTCGCGGGACCTCTGCAAAATGGAGCGGGAAGCTGCAAGCCACTGTTTTTTTCTGCGTCGGGATGTTGCGGTACCGCGCTGCGGCGACATGCCGTCATCAGCTGGGCACGATCCCAGGATCCCGCGCACTGGTCCACTCTGGTAAGTCGGAGTCAGCGGGAATGCGGAAGGGGGGGCGCTGACAGCGCTGGGAAATCTCCCAGACATGGATTCTCAGTGCGCTCGCAGTCGCAGCGTCCTGCTCGGGCCCAGCAATCCACGTCGAAACTTCTGGCAGACTCGGGCGCGAGGGTCGGGAGATCGGCGGGGCGAGACGGGCGCGGGGCGCGCAGAGCGAATGGAAAAGCAGAGAGCGGCCGTGGAGAAGGGGTCAACGTCAACACACCTAGACTGGTGCCTTGCGCGCTTCTGCAAAATCCCCTGCGATTTGGTGGTGCAACAGCCCTGACTTCTCACTAGTGCCGGCAGGGGGCATACCCTAGTGGAGGAAGGAGGGAGGAGGAGGAGGAGGAGGAGGAGGAGGCCCACGGCCCACGTCGAAGCATACAACAGAGAAGGAAACGGCTGTCAGCGCACGCTCCCGACCGATTCCGCCCATTTTGCGGCCGCCGATCTTCGAGGTGGCCAACGCCTACCCCTGGCCCGTCCGGCCAAGCAAGCGACGACGACGACGACGACCTCGACCTCGACGACGACGACGACGACGACGACGACGACGACGACGACGACGACGACGACGATGTCGAAAACGACGGCATCGAACGTCGAAGTTCGATCCTCGACGATCCAGGCATCCTCCGATATGATTCGTGCAACCCGCGGGCCCCAGACCCCCCCAAAGGCGAGTTCTTCGTCCTGGGCCCATGTTTGATGCTCCCGGGGCCCGATGAATGGCAAATGGCCCCCGAGGCCGAAGCTGGGGAAAGCCGACGAGACTGAGCAGGCGCAGCACCCCTTGAGACCCCTGATCCGCCGCACGTGCTCTGGGCGACTTCGTGAGCGGGGCGGGAGAAGGGGGAGGAGGAGGAGGATGCGCCTCATCCTCCTCCTCCTCCTCCTCCTCCTCCTCCTCTTCCTCCTCCTGGGGCCGACTACGACGCTGAGCTCTGCCTCGCACCGTGGCCCCAGACATCCGAAGTCCTGCGTTGTTCCCCACGGCGGGGTCCCCGGCAGTCCCAGGGCCGGTGCTGCATCCCACATCGTTCTGTGATCATGTGGCGGTCGCGGGGACCAGCGGGGGTCCCCGAAGGCCACAAACAGCGAGACGTCTCTGTCCGGACTCTCCCAAAAAGCTGAAGGCATGGACTTCTCGATCCTCGACGACGACGACGACGACGTAAACTCTGGAGATCCGGGCCTCGTCCTGGGGGCCCGCTCGTCGTCCCGAGTCGTGTCTGGACGGCTGTGTGGGGCCAGGCAAGAGCCGCTGGAGGCCGAAAGCGGCCACGAACTTTCGGTCGTCTCCGTTCAAGACGGCGACGACGACGACGACGCGGGCCCGCCAAGCACACGCCTACAGGGGGGGGGTCGACGTCGACGTCGAGAGGTCCACGGAGGCGACCTCACCCGAGGCTTCGAGGGCCCATCTCCTCGTAGTCGTCGTCGTCTCAATCGTAGTCGTGGCAGTCGTCGTGGCCGTTGCCGTCGACCCAACCGTCGTCATCGCCGTCGTCGGCCTCGACCTCGACCTCGACCTCGGCGACGACGACGACGACGACGACGAAGACGACGCGCGACGCCTGCAGGCTCGGATCGGCCAGCAGGCCGCCCGCCGCCCGGGCGTCACTCGCGCGCACGGCGCCCTCCAGCGCCGCGAGGAGCCGCAGCTCCGGGGGCGCCTCGCAGAGGGCCCCGGGGTGCTGCTGATGCTGCTGCTGCTGCTGCTCCTGAGCGCTGTTGGACCAGAAAACGAACGACACCACCCTAGGACACACAGAGACATACTAATACTATAGATCCTCCTTGGAGGAGCGTGTCCGACCCGAACATAAAGTATACTCATCTTGTAGTATATCGTTTCCCGAGCGGTGTGGCCAGAAAGCGCCCGCCACGACGCGTATGCTATAAGATTTCTCGGTGCGCGCGTCGCCCCTGGGGGGGCGACGCACATTTAGTATAAGTATGTTGTGGTGGCGCTGACACCCCACCTGCGGCCATACGGGGCTGAGCGTATACATCGAAATCTGGAGTCGGTTTTTACATGATCTGCGCTGCGGGCCCCGACGAGCCGCAGCACAACATGGAGGGCCGTGGGTGGGGTGGTGTCGTTCGTTTTTGGGTCGAGTTGTGCCCCTGCCTCCTCCTCTTCCCTCCCTCCCTCCCTCCCTCGCACCCCCCCTTTACTCTTGTGAACCTCTCTTTCTGTTTTGGGCTGATCTGCGCTTGCGCGCCTCCTCCGCCGAGATCCTCAGCGGTGGCACTGGGGTGGGCGCCGAGGGAGCGCCGAGTCCCGACTACAAGTCGGGGCTCACTCTTGAGTGGCCGTTGGCGCTCCGCGCGACGGACTCTTTCAGGCGTCGTGCCCCTCCCTCGTCCCCCACTCCTCGTCCTGCTCCTCCATTCCTTTCCTTACAGATCACTCCTCCTGGTCGCACCCCGAGGCCAATCAAAAGGGCGGGCCGGGCGTTTCGCCACAGGACACCCTCACCGCTTGTGATCCTTCAGCTGAGAATGTGCAACAACTTCACGGACAGAGTGCGGGAGGCTTTCAACACGTGGCTCCCGCCTCAGCGGCGCGCACATCCGACTTCTAACTTCGCGTGAGCTTCGTGGATGGAGGGCGGGTGGTGTTCCAAATGTGGCTCTCGCCTCAGCACCGCGCACGTTCGGCTCAAACGAAATGCAACGGTTGCACGGCTGGAGGACGGGCGGTTTTCAAGATATGGCTCTCGCCGCAGGGCCGCGCACATCCGTCTTTAAAACATGCAAGAGTTTCACGGATGTAGGGCGGCTCCTTTTCAAAACGTGGCCCTCGCCTCAGAGCCGCGCACATTCATTATATGAGTTCTCAATCGTTCAAAAGGTGTTTATGGCTTACGTCCCAAAAGTGCTGTTTCTGCACGATGTCGGACTGCCAGGGCGCAAAAGTTACGCTGATTCGCGGTGTCGAAGTTCCACGGATACTGTTTGGGCACGATTCAGGGTCGCCAAGAAGACACAGTATCGGTGACTCGCAGCTTTGAAGTTCAAGGCAAAATCAGGATGTTGAAACGGTTGTCTTACAACGAGGCAGTTCCCTCAGTGAGAATAGCTCCTTGTAGGTGCCTGTGACGAGGAAAATTGGAGGGAGCGTGTGTTGTAATATCGTGAACGCATGTTGGTTTACACTGGTCCTCCTCCTCTTACTCCTCCTCCTCCTCCTTCCCCTCCTCGCCGTCACTTCCCTCGTTCCCCTGCCTAATCCGAAACGTCCCGAGCGCGGTCTGGCTCCCACGCAGAGTTCGGCCTCGTGGGGACCGGCCAGAAGAGTGGGGCTTCCAAGCCACGGCTCACGGAGGGCCCGGCCGCTTGGGGCCGCGGATGGTCTTTCGTCCTGGATCGGTGCCTGATGGTCTTGGGGCCCGATAGCGGGCCCCCCCGGGGCCGAAAGCGAGGGAAAAAAACGCGGGGATGGAACGACTCACCTGGGAGTTTTCGGCTCGAGTCTCCTAGTTTCAGGCGTTCTCGTGGGCTCTCGGCGGTTCTCCCGCCTTGGGGGTGGCCTCAAGCAGCTGCGCCTTGCCGAAGGCGTTTGGGGGAGACCGGAATCTTCAGGAGCGGCCGCAAGAGAGATGAGTTTCGACATGCTCGCGTCATGAAACACCACAAAAATCGCGACGGCGATTTCTGTTGTCGCTTTCTTCCTCAGGGGACCCTTACCGAGCCCTGGGACCGTGAAGAAACGACTGGGCATGACAAACCGCGGGAACGGGTTGGGACTTCCAGGGGCCGCGCATGAAAAGAACAAGACATCGCCCAGGGTGCCTCCATCACATCCAAAGCCATCCCCGAAGGCTTGGGAAGTGAAACGGCGCTTGCGGAGGGCCTGGGAGAACTTATTGGTAGGAGAGCTTGTTGAGGGGAAGGGAGAGGAGGCAAGCAGGATTAGACACAAGCCCGCTCGCCCAAAGAAGGCTGTCGAACTGCTGACAATGAACCCTCGTACATTCAACATAGTGTGGGAGACCTGTACGGAAAGCGACGTCCCATCACACTCAAAACAGAAGTGCAGAGCAAGGGGAGAGCATGGCAAGATCTAGATGCAGAGCAAGGGGAGCATGGCAAATAGGGAAGAGCTAGATGCAGAGCAAGGGGAGCATGGCCCTTGGCGGAACTAAGCTCCCTCCCACTAGCAAAGTACGGAGCACAGCTTCTGCTGCGTACCAGTCTTCCACGCCGTCTCCGTCTAGAAGCACTGTGGGGCTGTGGAGGGGACCGTGGTCAAGATGAGACATGCGCGCGTGTCGTGAAGAGGCCTGAGACCAGGACCAGCGCAACGCAAAATATGAAACTACGTGTGCATCATCACGGGGAGCGAACTCCGTAAACACAAGGCGATCGCCAATGGGAGCTGCCCATGCAGTCGGGGACATGTACGATCAGCCGACTCAGAGCAATGATGCAACCATCACTGCCGCAGGTCATGCACCAATACAAAATGCAGTCGCCCGCGAGACCGAGTCAAGAGAATGCTGCATTGCATGATCCATACCGGCACGAGATGCAATTGAGTCCAAACGATAGGACAACCGCATGAGGATCGCTGTCCATCGTGACAGCTGAGTCCTCCACGTTGTGAGTAAGGGCCATGTCCACAGTAACTGACCTGCAGGGCCTTGAACCCAAGGCGATGAGAATAATTGCTTAGGCGTCCCAGAATTGAGCATCGCTGAGGCCAGCGATGGAACTTCCATACTGTAGTGGACCTCGCGGGGAACTTCGATGATCCCTGAAACGTCCCAGACACTTCCTGATTCCTCTGCTTTCTCCTCCTCCTCCTCCTCCTCCTCGTCCTCCTCCTCCTCTTCCTCCAAGCCTTCTGCGCAACGCCCAAAGAGCCAGCCCGGCCGGTGTTACGCGCATCGGAAGCTCCAGGCCAAAAGGCCACTTCTACAGGCATGAACCCATGTGGGGCGCTCCAGACGAGGGCTCTGTGACCGACGGCTGCAGCAGTGAGGCTCTCGCCCGGTCGCGGAAGCTGGCCGAAAGCCTGCGAGAACCGGCTGAAGCAATACGCGACGGCGGTGTGGTCGGCGGAAATGGTCGACTACACGCAAGAATGACCCTGGGTAAGAGTGACCTATGGTGCGCGGCTCTTGGGGACAACGGGGGGGCCAAACACAAGCGCGCAAGACGCTACCATCGCATCGCGTTTGGCGACCGGGGGAACCCATTTGGCCCGCACCAAAGGTCACTCTGGCGAAAGGTCACTCTTACGCCTATTCGAACAGTGGGGGCGGATGCTCGGCCGAGGCCGGCACAGGCAAAGTCGACCTCCCGACAGACAGGTCGACGCTGGCGGCGGCCACGCACGGCGGCCCAGACTCCTCCAGAACGGGCCTCGCAGAGCTCGCACACCTGAAGCCCGCTACCCTGGCGTGCGATGTTGCGACTACCTTGGCCCGTGGGCCCCCAGAGCCCTACACCCCTGACCCAAGATAAGCTCCTCGCCACCAGTCGCTTTCGGCAGTCCCAGGCCCTCCCAAGCAGCGCATGCAGGCAGACCCTGTGCTATTCTGGCCTTCGAGACTGCCCCAGTTTCCTCGCACGATGATTTCCATGGGTTTTGATCCTTGTCCGCCCGCTGTTGAGACGCTTCCCTGCCCCGCCCTAGAACCTCAGCGCGCATAGCACAGGCCACAGCAGCATCACAGCAGCAAAAGGGTACACGCACAATCTTTTAATAGTCATCGTGCGCGTATGCACCCACACAGTGACTCACGATCCCCGATCGAGCACGACACCAACACGGCCCCAAGAAAGGCCCAAGAGGGGGAACACGAATAGAGAATCCGAGCCTTCCGCCCACAGAAGCCCCCAGGAGGCCCCCAGACGCGCCCAGGAGGCCCCAAGAGACTCCTAAGAGGCCCCCGAGAGGCCCCAAGAGACCCCCCAGAGACCCAGGAGAGGCCTCAAGAGGTTCAAGAGAGGCCCCAAGATGCCCCAAAACGGCCCCCAACAGGCCTCCAAATTGCCTCCAGGAGGCCCCCGGGATGCCTCCCACAAAATCCCAACGACCATCCAATATGCTGCATACCCGCAACCCAGGCGCGGTGGCGGGATGGGCCGAAGCCTCTCGGTTTTGGTTTTGGTTCTTTTTCCAAAGAACTCCCCCTGGGGCTCCGGTGAACTCCCCATGGGGCTCCGGCGCGTCGCGCTGGGGTACCGGGAGGATTGCCGGGGACTTCAATTCCCCAATTTCCTGCCCAAGACGGCTCCGAGATGGCCTCCAAGATGCCTACAAGATGGCCAGGATGGCCTCCAAGACGGTTAAGATGGCTTTGAGATGCCTCCAAGACGGCCCAAGATGTACCCAAAACGGCCTAAGATAGCCTCACGATGGCCCAAGGCGGCCCAAGAGGCTCCTCAGAGTCCTCCAGGAGGGCCCGATGAGGCCAAAATCATTAATTTTTTTAAGGTTTTTGAAGTGTTTTGGCATTTTCGCCTGTTCGGTCTTCCGACGGCTTAAGACGGTCCAAGAGGCCCCCAAGATCGCCCAAGAGGCCCCCAAGAGGGCCTCATGACGGCCCGAGTGGCCTCCAAGATGGCCCAAAGAGGGCCCCAAGACTGCCCAAGAGGCCTCCAACACGCCCAAGATGGCCTCCAAGACGCCCAAGATGGCCTCCAAGACGGCCCCGAA